AATAACCTTATCATTACGTACTAACATTCTTAAATAAATAACGTCCTTGAACCGAATGAGCATGGTAGTACACGTATGTCATGCTGGTACTCAGAGGCTGAACCACGAGGATCATGAGTTTGAGCCCAGCCGGAGCTCGAAAACCAGACTTTGTCTCAAAAAAACAAACATAACAAAGCAAACAATCTACTTGCTTTAAAGTGTACCTTGATAATGGAGATATACTAGATCTCCTTTGGTTATTGCTTGTATGGTGTATCTTTTTTAGTCATTTTAATCCTTCTCAAGTCTTCTATTTGCACCGATGTTCTTAAGTGGTGTGCAGTTATGTTTACTAAAATTTAATTTGATCATCTGTTTTTATTGGGATATTTATATTTACATAATATTCTTGATATATGTGCATAATCACCACTCTCACACCTCAGTGTGAAGGACCTAGGTTTGACTCCCAGAACCCCTCCTCCCAGAAGAAACCCCAGAATAACATCTGTCCTCTTTTTGTTCATCTTTTTAGAATACCATTGTCCAATGCATTACTTTTAGCCTTCTCAAATCATTTGTTACATGGGAGTCTCTTGTAAAAAGCAGATGGTTAGAGTCAAATGGCACATGTTTTGAGTCAAACTGAAAATCTTTATCTTAGTAATCAGGTAGATAAAGCCATTTGCATTTGTTGTTATGATTAATGATCTTGCTCTCAATCCTGTGATACATTTTATAACCGTGTGTATTTGTCATATTTATTCTACTGTGAGATGTGTATTCTTGGACCTGTATTTTTTTCCTTCTGGTTACCTTTGTGGTTAAATCTTTTATGATGTCCTTTTGTCCTGTTCTCTTTTATTCCCATTTATCTTTTTTGAAATATAATACGACAAGCCATAAAATTAGCACTTAGAACAATGTACAATTCATTGGCTTCTGAAATATTCACAAAATTGTATAACTAGCATTAGTATTTGGTTCTTATCACTGTAAGTGATTCTTATCACTGTAAAGAAAAACCTATATCCATTCCCTACTCTCCCTCCACAGACCCTGATTAATCTCAGCTTGTCTCTGGATGTCCCTATTCTGACCATTTCATATAAAAGGAATCCCATACCAGGTAACCTTTTTGTGTTCAGTTGCTTTCATTTAACATAGTGTTTTCAAGGTTCATTCACACTGTGGCAAGTATCAATACCGTGCCCCAACATAAGGACACAGGACACTTCATTTATCAGTCCACCCAGCTGATGGATATTTAGGCTTTTCCTATTTTCTGGATATTATGAATAATGTATTTATCAATATGTAAGATTTTATGTAGATATATGTCTTCAATTCTTTCGGGCATACACACAGTAGTGAAATAAATGGGTGATACGGTAACTAACCTTTTGAGGAATGGCTTGTGTAAATCAGCTGCTTTAACATTTACAGTAGTGTGTAATAGCCCTAATTTTTCTTCACCCTTGCACTAGCTATTATTTGCCTATAAAATCTTTTATGATTACTTTCAATTTGGGGCATTCTTTTTCAAGTTATACTGTGAGTACAGTTTGTGTGTAGATTTTTCTCTTCTTCTAGTTGTGAATGATTAGGAAATATTGCTCTGACACTGAAGGATATCCCGAGAGACAAGGAGAAGTCATTGCTTTTACCTGAAAGAAGCTAGAAGTTAACTTTAAATAACAAACCAAGAAAATCCTATAAAGCAATACTGATTAAGTTAAATAATCATGCCACTGGGAGGATATTTTAATAAGAATGAATCCATACAAAAATTCACAAGAGCAAAAAAGAAACTCAGTATAGCCAAATAAATAAAAACTATTAATTAAGACAAAATGTATTTTAAATATAAAGAGAATGATAAATTTACAGCTTCTTAAAAACATTTATCATAATATGTCAGAATTAAGATAATTAAATCATCAGGTGATCAAGAAGATGTCTGAACATATTTATTTCTAATCACCAACACAGTTACTCAACACACACACAAAATAAAACTAACTGATACACTTGGACTAAACTTTTTAAAGAATTCTGAAAAATCCTACCTATATTGGATCTTTTTCTCCTATAACTCATTCACAAAGCATTTTAAACAATACGGTTAATAAAATACAGTTCTGGAATTTAAAAATTATCAATTTGAGGTAATCATTTAGTGATTTTCAAATTTTATACACTATTCTTCCTAAAATATTTGAGAATGACCTGGAGATACACTGTTCCTTAACCTGTATTTCATAAGAACGAAGATTTTTGTTTTACATTACCACATTACAATTATCAAAATCTGGGATTTCAATATCATCTAATTTGTAGTTCATATTTAAATTTTATCAATTGGGCCAACATCATTTTATAGTTACTTTTATCCTCCATGACAAGATCAAATACCACACTTAATTGTTATTTCTGTATTTTCTCCTTTAGTCTGGAACTGTTTAATCTTTTTGTGTGTTTCTTAAAACTGAGGTATTTAAAGAGTACAGGCCAGTCAATTTTCAATTCAGTTTTTCTGATACGTGCAAATGTTTAAGTTCAAGTGTGTATTTCCAGCAAGAACACATCACGTGAGTCATGCTTTGCCTTCTCAGTGTATCATGTCAGGAGTAGTGTAACATTGGTGTGTACCCTACGATGGCCGTAACAGTAACTGCTGTAATGGTAGCACCTGCCATGTTTAGCATTCTTTAAGGGTTTTTCTAACTCAATCATTCCTTTACTACTTGTTGGTTAGTTGGCATTCTACTGTTAGAAAGAGCTTCTTCTTCTAATTTATTTATTCACATTGTTAGGACTTATATATTCCCATATTATACACTGGGGTAGCATCAATTATTACATATTTTTATTTAGATTTCCAAGTGTCTTAGACTTGGCCAGCAAGAGTCCTTTCAGCCTGGCTCCTATGTCCTTTTCCTGGGTCTTCGTAATTCTCTGAATACTTCTCTACATTGTGAAGTGGGTGATGGAAGATTTTCTATCATGACAGGGAAGACAGTAATGTATACAGTATGCAGGTGTCAACATGTACATTTAAATCGTGGAATTTGCCTGTGTAGTAAGTATTTAGGAACACATCAAGTTTTAAAACTCGCTGATCTTGGATTCTAAATATTTTCCTCTCACAAAAGCAAGTAGGTCCTGCCCAAGGAAAAGGCTAACTCAGGTTTGGGACAGGGAAAGTAATAAGATGAGCTGGGAGCATCTTACACCAGAAGTGATTTTATCATTTTTCCTTTTCTTCCATCTTATATATATAAAATTACATAAAATATCCACAGCAAGTTTTAAAACAGAATGTATACAGGGATACTGAAGTAAAGGCATTATTCTTCATATAGTATGAAAAATATGAGATAAATCAGCTAAAGTAAATTTAAAAAGTGAATTCTGCCTGGGAAGTTTTTTTTGATGTTGTTTCTAAATACATGTATTTAAAAGAAAAAATTCTGAGGTCGTGCAAATTATTCCAAATATTCAATGCTTTCACAAAGTAAACATGAAACAATACGTAGTCTATTCCTTGAACAAACCTGAATTCACTCCAAGCTCACTGAGGACTTATTATGCAGGCAGCCCTCTGCAATTCAGCAGTTCCCACTCCCTGAGCTTTCATTTTGCTTTCCACAATTTCAGTTATCAGCATGCAACGAAAAGCAGGCTGAGTACAGTATAAGGGAATTATTTTGGTTAAGACAGACTATATTCACTTTTAATACAGGAGATAGTTATCACTGTTCTACTTCAGTATTAATTATTGGGGCCGGGCATGGTGATGCACGCCTGTAATCCCAGCACTCGGGAGGGTGAGGCAGGAGGATCACTGTGAGTTCGAGAACAGCCTGGGCTACAAAGTGAGCTCAAGGCCAGCCTGAACTGCAGAGTGAGACCCTGTCTCAAAAAGACAAAAAATAAAAAAATTATTATTGTTCATCTCTTACTGGGCCTACTTTGTAAGCCAGACTTGTCAAGGTGCATGTGGTGAAATCAGCACTATATCCAAATAGGGCTTGGTACTCCCCACACTGTCAAGTAACCAGCAGGACCTTAGAATGTATCTTCCAAGGGTAAGTGTTCCACTGTACTGTGGGAGAGACAAACCAAGCAAGCTATCAGTTTTAACTTAAATTTCACTTGTTTTTATGGAACTTAGGAGAGTACATTTATGGTTACCTAGATGATCCAGTTTGGGGATGAGAAAACTGCTTGAAGATGTCAATCTGACTGGAACACCATGAAATGGAAAAGTGACTTAGCTTTGAGTACTGCTGACATTAAAAGGCTTCCTTTAGTATACAGCCTCACTTCTTAACAGTTCAAATCAAATCAGAGGATACAATGATCTACACGAGATGGCAGTAGGATAACGTGATTTCCTAGCAAGGTCATCTCAAAATAAGGTCAAAGGTTGTGGTGCTCTTAACTCTGCTAATGCTTACAAAAAAGTAAAATGTTCAAAAGTTACATCAACTACTTAGCTCTCTTAAGAAAAAAAGTGGAGAGCAATTCCTGAAATCATCCTTAAATGAAAACTTTTCCCAAATAACTAAAAAGCAAAAGCATTAAGATCCAGATCAGTTTTTACTTGGATCTACTTGTATGTCTTTTTTTTTTTTTCCACCTCTTTCCCTTCAGTCCAGAGCACAGACTCTAGATGCTCAAAATCTATTGATTAAATTCAGTAAAAAAGGAAAAAACACTTGAAAATCACGGTCCCTTTTTCAAAACCTTTAATTTCTTGGTGAAATGAGTAAAAAGAATCACCAAATTTGGAATATATTATATGTAACTGTACCATGTTTCACATTATCTCAAGATGCAGAAACAGTTCCGAGATGAAAATGTATTAACTTGCTATATGGTTCTGATTCTACTTAATAAAATCTCTAAAAGGTCACAGCAACAGAATTGCCTTGAGTGTTTAAAGCCTATTACATTCAAAGTTGAAACTGAAGCATATCAACGAACAATTCAGCATTCTTTAAAATTCTTACCACAATCATTTCTGAAGGCTCTAATACAAGACAATCACATCCTCTTTTTCCTCCAAACTGCTTACCAAAACTATAAAAACAGAAAAACAATTTCTTTAGCAGAGGTTATAAGAATATCATATAGAAAAAAACAACAAACAAACCCCTAAGATGTTAACCAAGAAATTCTGATCCTTCTCTTATTGCTAAAATTTTTTAAGAAGAAAAAAAGCAAACACACAGAGAAAACCTTTCCTCTTAGTTGCCCAGGTATAACAGATCCCAATATAGTTCTGTATGAAAATTGCTTTTGAATTTGTTTTTAGTGCCTAAAAGTGATTATATAAGATACTTGCATAATCTCAAATTTTGCACATCTGTCAATACATGTTGAATTTAAAGGAAAACACACCTAATAATGACAGCATAAATATAAGATGTTTTATAAAGACAAATTATTGTATTAGACAATAGATATTTTAAAACTTTAAGAATACTAACATTTGAGTAAATAAAGAAATATAAACACAAAGATGACTCAAAAAAAAGCACTGCGGTCACTGGTTATTTCCTTGGAAAAAACTAAAGCTGGATCAATACTAAAAGAAAATCTGAGTGTTTTTATATTCTAAGTGTGACAGATTTCTAAGCAAATAAAAAAATAAAGCAATCATTAAGATAAGGAAAAGTTCTCTTTAAAAGATAATTTTTAAAAAGTGGAACAATTTTTAAAAACTTGCATATCAGATGGCACACAAAGGTTAACAAAATATGCAGCTTATGCTCAAATTGTAAAGCAACTTAAATTATTACAGTATTTCAAATTAGTACCATGGCAAATTATTTTTAAAACGTATAAATAAAATAATACTCTAAAACAACCAATGAGAAATCCCACAAATAACAAAAACAAATTACAAAATACGAAAAAAAAACCCTTAAACACAGAAGTGATTTATAAAGAAAATTGTACAACTTTATTCATAGACTGGAAATAGTGTTTAAATTAAGGCAGTGACAAAGCATACTTACAAAGGCTCAATGTAATAAAAACAATTTTCCAAAAAGTACAGTTATATACAAGTAATAGTTTTTAACAAAATTCTAATCAAAACCCATACAAGATAACATCCTGAACTAGTCCATCATCTTTGTTTCTTGTAAAGCAGAAGAACTATCTTTTTTGCTTTCTTCTATTCTTACATTACCTGATACATAAAACCAAACATAATATATGAAATAAAAGTTTTGAGATGCTGGAAAGTAGAACAAAGCCATGGTTCCTTAAGAAAAAACAAAAGCTAACACGATCTCTGTAACAGCCCCATTTTCTGCCTGCAGGCAATCTCTAGGCCCTAACATGAGAAGAAAGAACCTAACAAAGCCTGATAATCTGAGCTGAAGTGACAGAGAAAGTTTTGCAGGTGTGGGTAACAGGATAAAGAAAGATGCTTTGAATTTGCATGGCAAAGTATCAGAAAGGAGGAAACGGGAGGGAGAGGAAGAAGAAAATAGGATGAGGGGAAGAAAAAACAAATATGCATGAAAGAGTGCATGTGTGAGCTGCTCTTGTATGCACTTTGGATATCTTCAGAAAGGTTCCCTTGACTCCAGGTGAGTACTGCACTATGCATATGCAAAAAGAAGCCTAAAAGTCAAAGTAGACGATGAATGTGATCATTATGTATATCTAAAATGTGCCTTAATAAAAATTAAGTCCAGGAAAATAAAAGGGGTCAAAGTAAAGTAGAAAGACCATGGAGTAGGGCCCTCACAACTGTATTTCCTTAGTAATGTAATAGATTAGTCCTACCGTATTTGCTCAAACAAATGTAAAAGACTCAAAATAATCAAATAGATTGTAATTAACTAGACACTCTGGCAGAACAAAGCCCAATACTGTTTGATATCCAAGAAAACAACAACAAAATAGGCAAGCAAAGGAACAGAACTCTACAGTCCATACCCTAGAGAAAACCAATCAATAAGAACAGACCCAGAACTGTCAGAAGGGAATCAACAGACAAGGAAAAAAAGCCAAGTATTTCTAAGTATGCTCTATATGTTCAAAAAGAGAGATAAATAATGACGTGATATACAGAGAAACTCTGTGTGTGTGTGTGTGTGTGTGTGTGTGTGTGTGTATGAATAAATCAATCAATCTAGGACTAGGCGTGGTAGTGCACACCTGTAATCCTAGCACTCAGAAGGGAGTATGCCTGTCATCACCTGAGTTTGAGGCCAGCCTGGACTGCAGAAGGAGACCCTGTCTCAACCTCCCCCACCCCAAATCTGGACTATTCCATAATATCACCTGTGCAAAACATACTGCAGAATAGAAAAGTATCATGAATGTTTACTTTTAAAAAATAGTGCATTGCCATTAATCCCTCTCAAAATATTCCCCCTCATTTCAAACCCTCTTATCCCATCCTTTTTGCTGCTTTCTGAAGTAGTTCTAGAGTTTTCTTTCATGTCTTTACAAGCTGTGATTTTAAAAAAATGCAATGAATGCTGCTGAGGAGTACCATACAGTGGAGAGGTAGGCTCATGAAAATTTTTCGGTCTGGGCTGGGGATATAGCTCAGCAGCACAGCACCTGCCAGGCAAGCAGGAGGTCCTCAGTTCAATTCCTGGTGCACACCCACCCCGCTTTTTTTTCGGTTTGCCCTCATCCATTTCACACTGGATCTGGCGCCGAGCAACTACTGGCTCTTCTCTGAAGTCAGAGTGACCTTAGAAGGCAAATGTTTTGAATCAGTTCAGGACAAAGTAAGCAGGACTATTTTGAGAGGGATTAATAGCAATGTAATAAAAGTTACAAAATTTTTACTGTAATAAAAATTACAAAATTTAAATATTCACTGTACTTTTCAACCACACCCTCATATATATAAGGTGCAGTTGTCTCTTTTTTTAAAAAGACAATGTTAAAATTGGGAAGCACCTTCAGAAAATTCAATTTGATCTACCCATTATAGAATTTCCTCTCTACTTTCTGTTAGTGCTAACATCAAGTTTTTATCAGTACCTAGATAAAAAAAATGTTAAACATGAACTGTTCCTTTCAATAAACCAATTGTTTGATCAATCTTACATGCCTATATCTGATTATCTGAGTAACCATTTTGAAAATAATGCGTAATACAACTACCGTTAATTTCCTATCACCTTGTTTTGAAATTCTGTATCATTTTTATTGTTTTTATGTTAGTCTGTCTTTGTTTTTGTTATTTTCTTTTTAAAATAAAAAAGATTTTAGGAAGTGTTATTAAGGCTACTGAAATAGGCATTTTTAAATTTTATTACTCTTGTTGAATTTATCAGCTGTATACTGAAATAAAGAAAAACTTTCCATCATTAACTATTTGTGTTTTTGGAACTATAGTTTATACAAGGTAAGTAGAATAAATACTTCACAGACATGATGATATAAAGTAAATCCTGCAAATTCTATTGAAGAAGCTACTAGAGGCTAGGGTATAGCTCAGTGGTACAAGCACCTGCCTGGCAAGCGCAAGGTCCTGAGTCCGATTCCCGGTACCAAAAAAAAAAAAAGAAAAAAAGAAAAAAAAGCTATTAGAAATATATGAATTTAGGGGCTGGGTTAGATCAGAGGCACAGCGCCTACCTGGCAAGCGCGAGGTTGTGAGTTCGATTGCCGGTGTCAGAAAAAAAAAAAAAAGAAATATGTGAATTTAGCAAGAATAAGGTTATAAACTCAAAACTCAGTATCTAAAAAAAATTGTTTTAAAATGCATTAGCAAATAATTAGAAAATAAAAATTCTTTTACTTTGATTAAAAATAGGTAACACTAAGAGATACATTATCAAAATACATACCTCTACAAAACTATAAACTAAGCTGGGTGTGGGGATATGTGCCTGTAGTCTCAGGGACTTGGATGGCTAGGGGAAGAGGACTACTTGAGCACAGGGGCTTAAGGCCAGACTGGGGAACTTACAACAACACTGCTTTTAAAAAGGAGGGGGAAAAAAATCAGAAACTATAATAAACACTACTGCGAGAATTCAAAGAAAACCCAAATAAAAAGGGATATATCCTGCTTACAGACTGAAAAACTAGCCATTATTAAAATGGCAATTCTTGGGGCTGGGGATTTAGCTCAGTGGCACAGCGCTTGCGGGCGTGGGGAGGGGTGTGTGTGTGTGGTGTGTGTGTGTGTGTGTGTGTGTGTGTGTGTGTGTGTTGGGGGGGAATGGCAATAATATAAATTTCACAGAAATGAGTTCAAAGCATTCTCTCTTCCCCTACTTTCTGAAGAGTTTGTATATGATGTCTACTAATGCTTCTTTACATTTAAAAGCATTCAGCAAAAAGCCATATGGGCCCAGGGTTTTCTTTGTTTTCAAAGCTTCTGTTTCTTTTTGAGACTGTTGTGGCAATATATGTCCTTGTAATATTTGCCCAATTTGTTAACATATGCTTCACAAAAAGCCTTTGTAATACTAATTTGTGTAGCAAAGGTATACTTCCTACCTTTCATGTATAATTTTGTAATTTGCTTACTGTTTTCCAGTCTAGAGTTCTGGGAAGATGGCAGAGCAGTAAGCAGCAACAAATCAGCCTCTTCAAGATTCAGAATCCAGGCAACGGAAAATAACAACTTGCGGAAGCAAAGGAGGGAGGTGGATCCCTGGGACCCAGAAGGGACACGACTGGAAAATTAGAGTCTAAAGAGAAACTAAAGAGACAGGACACAAAACAGAAAAGGAAGGAGCAATCTTCACTTCTCCCTGGTTCCTGGCTTGAAGTTCACGAAAAGGAAGACTAAACCCACAGAGACACCGCGAAAGCAGGCGACGCAGACGCTTCAGGGAGAAACACACCAGCGCCACTGGGCAGCGGGTGCTGTGCACTACAAGAGCCGGTGAGGGACTCCAGCCCAACCGCCCGCCATCTCCCCTGGAGAGTGCTCGGCTGGACGCATTCTGTGGAGGGGCCAACCGAACCTGGGACGCAGAACAGCCTCACGTGGGCTTCATCTCAGCGCTCCCAGCGTTAAACTCCCACAGGGACTGGGTGAGGGACAACCATGGTGGTCATCCACGGTTAGGGAGCTGAGGTCA